CCCCCCCTTCCCCACACGCACTGAACGCCGCTGCCGACCAGATCCTGGATGAGTCGGGCATTGTGCTTGTGCCGGGAAGCGGTTTCGGTCAGGAGGAGGGCACCTTGCACTTCCGCACCACGTTCCTTCCCGCCGAGGAGACGATGCACGAAACTATGAAGATTATGGCCAAGGCCCACGGAAAGTTCATGGATGAGCACCGCGACTGACTCGACAGCCATGGGTTTTGGGCAGGGAACGGGTTAAGCACGGAGCTGGTTGCAGGGGTTCGCTCGCATTGCTCACTAATGCAGCACCTCACACATGGCTCCTTGAAAGGCGTTCAAGTTCTAACGTTTTCATGTACTCCTTGGTTTGAAGGTGTCAGCACAATCGGTGTTTCGTGCACTACGGGAGCACAGTGATTCGAAATGTTTTGGACCTTTGTTCTGCATTTTGTGTCTCCTTTGTCGGTGTGTATTCCTGCTGTATGCATACCGCCACAGAACGTACCGTGTCCTTCGTTCTTCCATGTGTGTTTAAGAAGCATTCCAGACGTCTGACGTGTAATGTCGACATTAGTAAGTCACACGAGCTGGGTTCCTTCGTATCCTCTTTAGGTGCAACTAACGTCAGATGGGCGACGGGTACGCTGTGCGAGTTATTGATTCACCTATATACGCTGGACAGAGATGCACAGAAGAAATTAGACACTGCTGCTGCTCTACGTTGCCCTCAATCAAGTTAACCCTATGCTGCATTGCCCTCAAGCAGAGGTGGATAACAGATACATTTCGCAGGCTACCTTACGAGCCTTTTGTTGGTACAACAGATTTTGTGGTATTCTTTTCAAAAGTACTGCTGAAGAAAACAAAGATTTCGCTGGCTGTGTTCCGATAGACATTGTTGGCAACAAGAGATTTCGAACGCGTTCCTCCGGTACAGTAGACACTGAAGATTTCGTAGGTTGTTCCAGGTAGATGGGGCGACTCCGGTTACGTTGGCGTTGATGCTGTTGTGTTTCTAAATAGCAGTGGCCATTGGTAAACCCTTCGTTTCTCTGTCACCAGGTTCCACCGATTTTCCTGACAGCGATTTTGAGTCTCACTTTTTGTCGACGAAATCCACTGACCAACAAGACGATCATATAGTCTGTGGATGGTCAGTGGATTGCTGTATCGCTCACGGAAAGGGGTAGACTGGCTCTAGAAAGATGGGACGAACACACATGCACACACGGCTTTGAGAGTATTGGAGACGAAGGAAGGGGAAAGGGAAGAAAGAGGCCGAAGACGATGGAGAAATATAACATGAATGGAATGGAGCAAAGGATTTGAGCCAGATGACCCCCACAACGAAAGACGCAGGGCTAGGGAAGAACTGCCAAAAGTTTGTGAACAGAATCATGAGAATGATGGTGGCGATAACAAGGCAGATACTGGTGAAAGCACTTCAAAACGAACTCGAGTGCAAGGTGACACCCTTGGTGGACGCGTGCAGTTTTCTTCTGTTGCCACCGTTTCTGTCTTTGATCCGGAGGTTAGTTTAGTCTCTTCAATCGCACTTGACTGACGTCTTTACATGGTCAGTCGGTTAGCGCGCTCGATGCCAGAAATAAAAATATACCCACACGCAAACGCAGGAGTGGAGGAACGATCCAGTACAATGGCCAAGAGCCTTGTGTACATGATGGAATCCTTTTGTCCAACGGAGGAACACCGGGTACTCCTCCGTTGGGTACCCGGTGCGGCACGCTTTCCTTCACGTGGAAAGGGTGGTGTTGAGGAAACACCAGTTTTTTTGAGTTTTTACTTTGCGATGCCCGGAGAGATGCCGTGGGAGCAGATGATCATCGTTCGGCGGGGACAAGAGTCTTAATAGTCCTGCGAAGCGGATGCCGACGCCTTGGCCTTGCCGCCGACACTGGACTTCTTCGGTAGGAGCACCGCGTGGATGTTGGGGAGCACGCCGCCGGAAGCGATGGTCACCTCGCCAAGCAGCTTGTTGAGCTCCTCGTCGTTGCGGACGGCCAGCTGAATGTGGCGGGGGATGATGCGGGCCTTCTTGTTGTCACGGGCGGCGTTGCCCGCCAGCTCAAGCACCTCGGCGGTCAGGTATTCGAGCACAGCGGCCAGGTAGACGGGAGCGCCCGCGCCCACCCTGGTCGCGTACTTCCCCCTCTTGAGGTACCGACCGATACGCGCCACCGGGAACTGCAGCCCGGCCTTCGAGGACCTGTGGCATAACAAAACGTTGAATTAACACAGGGTCCCGACGTGGTGTGCGTGAAGGCACGATCACGCGGGTATGCGTACCACTACCTAACCCAGCAGTCAATCCCCATGTTGCCCGCAACCAAGTGTGTCCCGAGACTTCTAGTGGTCCCATTTAGCGAAAATCACTGTAATTTTGAAATGCATCTGCACGACGGCTTCAGCAGCACCACTTATTCACAGGCAGGCGTAACAGAGAAACGAAGGAGGAACAGACTCACTTGGAGGTGCTCTTCTTTCCGCGTCCGCCCTTTCCTTTTCCAGACATGTTTGGAGAGTATTAACTGCGACATCCCCAAGCGTTGAGGAACGTGAACACAAGACAAAGATTTCAGATGGGCTATACCAAAGCTGATCGCGGCGGGAGTGTACATGCCAGAGGCATTCAGACAGTGGTTGAACATGAAGCACCGACCCCAGGCTTGGGTCCATTTGGTCGTTAAAAATCAAACAGATGTAATTCAAACCCGCGGTTTGTAACCGAAGCTATGTCGGGCCCAGAAACCGGAGAGGATACCGTTTGATGAAAGCGTCATGCCGGCAGGACAGGCGAAAAACCTGTTTTCATGGATACGGGTGGCGATCACCGCTATCGATCATGCTCAAGAGCTTGCGCGAGCAAGAGCACACAAGAAAAAGCGGCTTGTACCGCTGCCGGGCACTTTTCAGTGCTTTCGGTACACATCATAGCGGATCGACAAGCGAGCCGAGCGCAAAGTCACTGGAGCATGCTTGCAGCGGCCCTTCGAGAGAAAGCTAAGGTCTTCGCCCGTGTGGGGCTTGGTGACATGAGGCATCGGTTCCATTCATCTCCGTGTGGTCGCTCAACACCTGGATGTGAAAACCTAACGGTCGAAAAATTCAAAAAATAGATGTACGAAACATCGGACTGTAGGCGCGCGAGGGAAGCCAAAAGCGGAGGTCATCATAGCAATCCGCATGAACAACGCCGTGCATACACCATGGGTTAGGGGGACGCACGTCCTGAACAGCATGTCGGCGTTCAGCTTGCGGGCGTTGTGGACCGCAAGACCGGAGGGCTTTAGGCACTCAAGCGACATGAACGGCCCGTTTCCTGAGTCCAACGCTCGCGTAGTGTGTCCAGAATTAGGGAGGGGAGATCCAACGAAAAAGAGACGGTATGTACTTCTGCTGCATGCTTCACTCGTGCATTAGGAGGCGCCTATCAAGTCCCACCTGTGAGAAGAAGAAGAGTTCGATGTGGGGATGGCGAGTGAATGAACAAAGTAGGGCACGCCTCCACCGAAGGCGGGGGGTACGCAGATAAGGACAAGCTGAGAAGGGGGGTTAACTGGGACGAAAAAATATGTATACGAGGGGCATGGGGGGGGTGTACGAAAATACACAAACGCTTGTTTTTACGTTCATGAATGCATACTACCGCAGGAGGGGGTCCAGCCCCCCCCTTCTATGTGACCCCGGTTGGGTCGTCTAGCTAGTAGAAGTGGAGGATAGGGGCCAGAGGGGCAGATGACAGAGTCCAATGATGGGAGGAAAAAAAACTACGTAACCACGGGCTCCCCATTTTTTGTGGACTATAGAGCTAGCTGATGTGAGAAACAACAACTGCAACTACAACTACATGCGACGCCCCCGTGTCGCCCTGAAGCTCAGCACCATTATTCTGTGGTGGGGTATAACCCAGCAGCGACCGTGTGGGTTCGCTGCATTTCCTCTCAACTCATTTAGATCAGTTCAGAAAAACAACACCTAACCGTGGGTTGCATAAGATATCACGCCCTGGGGACCGATTTCGAAGCTCGATATCTCGGCAGGAAAAGCGGTAACGGTGCCGAAAATGGCCGCGTTTGAACCGTCTCGTCGAGAGCTTTCCGAGAACTTGGACTATACTTCTTTAATTTGGGCATCCTCTTCGTCGTGGAGTAATCGAGCTTTGAAAAAATTGGTCCCGGGGGTGTGATATCCCATGCCACCTATGTACAATGCACGGAAGTGTTCGGCCCTGTGATAAATCCAGGACTTCCCTCTCTTTTAAGCAACCAAAACCTAAGCATTTAGACTACTCCTAGATATCCAATCAGCGCTGACTGACTGACTGGGCTCCTTTGAATTGGAGGGGCTCGGAAAGAAGACGAAGTCTACATGCATACGTCACTATAGTCTAGATAGAGGTCTCCCTGTTCCAAGTGTGGTGCCGGTTGTGCCCAAGACACTAAACTACTATACTCCTCCTACGGCCAGAAACGATAACAGGCTAGACTATTAGTCTATAGACTAGACTGATATATGTTCGTGTGAGTGCGTAGAACAAACAACCGGGTGTGAGTGGTAACAAACATCGAAACATCAAGCACTATAGGGTTTAGGAATAATAATACAATTCTTCGAAGGATGCAAATACCGAACACAAACAGACCTACCTGCACTAATATTCCAAAACAGAGAACGGGGAGATCTATGTAGGTTGTAGACGCACCCAGAGATTTGACCGGGGCACTACATGTATACCGAGCACCGCCACATTCGATCGGCACTAGTCTATACAGACAGCGAGAGCTTATTTTTATACTGCTGCTGCAAGAATACGTTGTACCCTTACATTGTACGCTTACAGAGAGTAGCTGATCGGGAGGGGAATCCGACAAGGAAATCTACCCCGCCCGGTGGTTTCGCCGTGGTGCAAGGATACACAAATATTGCTCCTCTTCAAGGTCACATCCGTTTGATTCAATCAGCTCTGAGTTACACATGTGGGCTGTCGACAATAACATATAGTACTGAAGTACTTTTTGGGCCTGCTCTCCCCCCACACCCTGCCATGTGTCCTCTTCATATTGCATGGCCTTGTTACCTTTTAGTCTAGGACCTTGTTATTTCGTCGTGTGGTTAAGTTCTGGGTATGTTCATTCATGTCATGATGCTGTAAGATATGAATGTAAAACACGTCAGAACGGAATGCAATGTCAACACAACAACAACAACAACAACAACAACAACAACAACAACAACAACAACAACAGTCACACATAGTTGGTTGAATGCATAGACTAGTCTACTCATGTCACTGGACTGAGGAATTTCATCGATAATAACCCCTCTGTCAGTCGAAGCACACTCCCTACAACGGTGATAGGGGGAGGGACACCCTTGCGTCTCCCGAGGCAAAACGTTTCATGTGAAACCTCGTCTCACCGCGGACGGGGTGGTTGACCTCGTATTCCCAGTAACGAGCTGCGTCGGTTTATGCAGTCACTCAACGATATACCTTCAAGGTTAGACTGAGGTCAGCCAGTGAGGGATACGATTCAATAAAGTGTACCATCCTCGAAGTCAAGCTCCCTGCACAGATCATGATGGCGCGCCGATGGGTTCTATTGAATATAATTACCTCGAACCACAAGGACTTTTAACGACATAGTGAACGCTGCGCTAGTCGGCTCGAGATGCAGCCGATCATTAATCGCCACCATAAAACGTTGGTTTCTGTGATTGTGTGACGCAATCCATCCCCCACACATGCACCGGTCACCGTGCGTGCGAAAGAAATCCTCTCACTGCAGGAATACTGCTTATGCCCATCCACAATGTCAAATAGCCTCGTAGGAGCGTCATCACCGACCCCCTAAACGACGTGATGTCCCCAATTGGACCGAACGACACCTCTTGGCAAAATTAAGGCTACACGAAGACTCTCCTTGGCTCTGTGGGGCCGGGTTGATGTTGACAAACATGAGCACCTGGTCGACGAACACATGTGCACAGGACAACCAAGGGGTGGCATCAGACGTTGAGATTTACTGTTGAAGGCTGTGCTCGAGGTTCATCCAACCCAGAACTGCCAGAGCCACCGACGCTGCGTTTCATTATTTGCCCGGGCTCTTGCCGGACTCACACACGCGGGTTGGCATCCGGTGGGCGTGCGCAGCAAACTAAATACCTTGATTATTAATGATTAGTTGTCACTGTGCGACAAAATACTTGTTTCGATGTGGAAACTTATCGAATGGGCAACAGCGAATCTTGGAGGAAACGGAAGTCTACCTTGAGGGAGTCACACACAACTCAAACTCTGCATCTGGGGACTGTACCTTGGCATTTGACGAGAGCGAGTCCTGTAGCAAGAACGTGAGCTTGGAGTTCCTGTACGGAACGTGCTTACTGCCGGATCCGAGGGAATTGATGACATCACCAAGCGCGCTAAGGGATCGGTTGATATTTTGGGCTTCCTTCAGTTGCTGCCCCTCTACTGCAGTAGACTGTGTCGTTTTCGTAAGGTCGAGGCAAAACGAAGAGGAGAGGAGACGGCAGCACATTCCGTGTACGGGCATTCATTGAACAGCGGAAAATATTTGTGTAGCGGAATCATTTCGCGATTTTGGGCAGGGGATTATTCCTCGTTAACACCTCCACCGTCTATCCTTGTCGCTGTCGTCCTTCCAATGGATGATGTTGCAAACAAACATAAGGATGTTGTACATGCTCGGCCTCACCTTTATTCTCTCGCTGCCAGCTAAGTCGATGAGGTTCAGCTTGCCGTGTTGTACGTATCCCGTGGCCACATCTGTACTCGTGATGTGTACCTGGAGCACTAGATGGCTTCTAGATGAGTGCTCGTTGACGTTGTTGTTGCCCACAGTGCGATTTCGCCCACCTAGAACGACAAGCTCCTCCACCTCTTCGAGCGTCTCAACCTGTCGAAATCAAAAGCATCAACCGCCAGCGGCAAGACACCATACCGGGATTCACCCTCTCCTCAATGCTCGCGGTTACAACATCCACCAAGACTAATCTAGCCTTGCTGGCAAGCTCGCAAGGATGTGATATCGAGTTATTGCCATGGGTCACAGGGTTCTACTCGTGGGTGACAACACTACATGTAGTTAAACGACATCTTCGGACGATAGAAACAACGGCATGTGCCTGACGCAGGCAACAACCTAAAAAAAAAACGACAGCATATTGCGAGTCCTGACACGCTCCTCCAGCGCGCTGGACGCGCGCTGCTGAACCCAAGACTCACGTGTCAAACTACCAGTCAGTACGAACCTCGCACTCAACGAGCCCTTCCACGTACACCCGGCCCTTCTTATCCAGCCGTACGTCGTGCTTATTTGCAGCTGCTGCAGGCCGCCCCGGCTCAATGAACAAATCCTTGATAGACTCGTTGTACACCTACCACACAGCGGGGCGGGATATGTGCACAGTAGGTGTGGTCAGTTGCGGAGCCAAATTTCAAACGTCCACAAAAGGGTTTCCCAGGCACCAACGCGCAGTTCAACCTGACGGCAGCGAGGTGAGGGCTCATACATATACTGTTGAGCACTTTCGTGCGTATCCATCGAGACACTTCGACGTACTAATTATTGCAGAGATATGCCACATGACGTGGTACTAGCAGTATCTCGGCACGTACTCCGGAATTCACCTCGAGCATGCTGACCCGGAACTGGAACTCCTTTGTGTCATCTTGATTTGAAAGACTAAACAGCTCGCCCAGGGCTCGGAAGTTGACACCCCTTCATGGCCAAGAGGACAGGCAGAAAATAGAACGGGTGATTTGCGCATGGTGCTTGGTGTGGTCGGTCGTAAACAGGAATATGAAGCATGCCGGTTCAAAGGGGGCATGTTTGTCCGTCACCTCCAGGGTCCGCTCTTGCTCACCTGTCGGATTTTGGTCCCTCCATCGTGTAAGTCTTCCCCGACCCGGTCTGACCGTACGCAAAGACGCAGACTCGGTATCCTTCCAAAGCAGAGGCCACCATAGGCTGAACTTCATCAAACACCTGCAGTACATGCACCGTTGGACGAGGAGCATGTTCTGAAACAAACAGGAACACAAAACAGTCTTATCTCTCTGAACGTTAGCACTCCCCTCGATTATCAGCCGCCAGTCTCCGAAAGCGTGTCAATGGCAGCGCGAATTGCACCAACACGGGTCCCGTATCATGAACGGTGAGGCGTACCGACTGCTTTCTTGGGGACGAGTGAATGCCGCCACTCAGTGATGCGCGCAGTGCAAAGCCCTCTTGTGCCGTGACCCTCCCATTCTTGTGCGTATGGTACTGCTGTTGTCTCGACTACCGTCATGCCCTAGTTCTGGCATAGGTTGGCTTTGGTTGATCTAGTCTTGCCTGTGCTTGCTTCGTGCCCGGCCCGAATACGTAGTCGAACTGGTATGGAACCCCCCAGAAAGTTAGTCGATCGACGTCGGGGTATGTAATGTTTGCCATCGGGTCCTCGTACTCTTTGTCTCGTTCGATCACCAGGACCTTCCAAGAAGAACGGGCGTGACCACGTGTGCGACAACCCAATTGCGAGCGGGTGGAGGCATTTCAGCATGAAATGGGTCAAGCATCTCGTTTGGCGTAAGCATATCGAATAGTGAGTCTTTTGCTACACGAGTGTTTGTCGCATAGAAGCATGCATCACCCCTTGTCACACATTATGCAATACGTGACGTAAAAAAACACACCCGCTGCAAGAACGATGAAACTATACGATACCGGGTCGTAGATTACGTGCCTCCATAGATGTTGTTCATGTCTTAACAGAATACCGTCGCTCACGGCATCTACCTACCCTACGGCCTTTTCTCTCGCGCTTCGAGGTCACACAGAACAGATGCTTGGTGCGCATAAATCATAACGCGGGAAGGTTCAGACATTCCGCTTTCTACAGTAGTTTACTCACGAACATACGCTGTTCACAGCTTTGTAGCTAGGTTCGCAATGTGGAATGCATACACCTCGCCGAGAATCGGAATCCCGACCCTAGCCACAAAAATGGTGTTGAGATTTGTACCTAGATCACCGGGGCAACCGACTCAACGAGGGAACAAAGCATTGATCAAGTAACACGATGACGTACGAGGCCAACTCCCACAGAATACCACACTCGGTGATACGTATTTTGAATCCTCAACTAGTATCACCGGTTGGTGGCATGTGACATTTCTTAAGGTAGGCATTGTATTGCGTAACTCATCGACTTATTAGACCGTAAAAATAGTAAAATAGGATACATGATCTCGACAGCACAACGATGTATCTTGTGCACTTCTCGGGCATCGTGGAGCAGCGACGGCTTCCATCGCGCCAGAAATCTACCAAGGTCGGAATCGACGCGGGATGAACAACTGAAACATACCCAACCAGTAGGCACCGCACTCGACCGCCCGCTTTATGCCGATCGATCGGCGTCATTTGTCGCTCACCTCTGCCTCTTGCAAGGGCCGCAACCTGCACAACACCCGTATGCTTCCCTGAGATGACAAGAGATGACAAGAGATGACAAGAGATGACAAGAGATGACAAGAGATGACAAGAGATGACAAGAGATGACAAGAGATGATGCCATGACGCGCCACGGGGGAATGACAGCGAAAAATACAAAGTTTCAAACAATTGCATCATTTGCCTCGCATGGCTCCCATATCGAGTTTTGCCATCGAATTTATGTTTGTGGACGCCGTACTAATAGCACTGTCCCATCACACCCAAAAAGTGGATAGGCGCGAACAGAACGAATACATATACAAACACGGGTTGGATGGCGCAAACGCACCACGATCCTCAAATACATCTCTCGGCGCACCTGCATATCCAGGATCTTGGCATTTAGTTCTCGCCTGAGGACCCTCTCGGCTTCAAACTTGGTCTTCCACTCTCGTGCCTCTTCTTGCGCAGCACTAGCCAACCTCTTGTTTCCTTCGTTCTCTTCCTGTTCGAAAATAATTCACGCAGTAGTTTCAGCCGTAGACTGTGGGGCTCCTTCCTGCTTCAGAAAGAACTGACGTTTCTTGCACACGCAGAGACAGAGGGTAACCACGGTCAAAGTTCCAGTTCGCCCCCGCTCCATACAGCACCGCCATAAGACTCATTCGGGTAGTATCGAATATCCCATCTGGTGCAATGCACACCAATGAACGCCCCATCAGATGTTTAAGCGCGTACGATACGTAGTCAACAGAATATCTATGTGAATCGTTAGTACCGAAATCGTACTTTGACGGTCCAGCAAAATCGCCGCCGAGGCTCGTGAGTGATTTGCATCATAAGCATCAAACGTTGGTTATCACCTTGACGCGGTCGAAAACCTGTCTTGACTGGATTGAGGCGGCTTCGAGCTGCGAATACCGTAGCTGGTAGCCGGCAACAGAAACCATGCAAGGAGGGATATCCGGCGGTCAGACGAACATCTCAACCTCTGGTTTGATCTGCAGCGGGTGGACCGATCATGATACTCGGGGCTCCGAACGTGCGTGCTCCAGGATTTCGCTACCACGCCCGGAGCAAGCGGATAAAGAACATTATGTACCCCGAACCCTGTTGTTCTTGAGAACGTGCATTGCAGCGCTCAACACCGGTACGGTAGCACCTTTACACAACGGTACGGCACAGAGGGACAATACGTTCGGTAGTATTCATTCCTGCAGCAGGTTAATTCTGTTAAGACTTGTTAACTGACGTCTGAATGTTGGATGGTTTCCCGTGGATACCTTACCTTCTCGTGCTCTTGTCGTTCTTCCAATTCGCTCTTCTCCTCTGTCAAGGACGACACCCGGGACGAAAGTTGCTGAATCTCTTCCTGCACAGCAGTCCGAGAAAGACACCGACGGGCAACAACAACGTTTCTTCTGACCGACCTCAGCTAGACGACTACTCTGAATTCCCTGTAGCCATTGCCATCCAACTTCCTCTACGTGTGCTGAGAGAGGTAGGTACTGCATGCGCAAGGAGACGAACACAAGTCAAACACGCGCCGACCCGTAGTGAAGCGATATCCACAAAGTATACTCCGCATTTTGTTGACAATATACATCTTAAGATTTACCTGGCACTCAACAACCTTGAACTTCAACCCTGTGATTTCTTGTAAATCCCCCCCACGAGGAGCATCAGGATCCATGCTGCCAGCCGCCACCTGCTTAAAAACGGACAGACACAACGGAACAACCCCCGCCACCCCAAGTGCGGAAGTTGGAGTAGGTTTCCGATGGTTTGCGCTGAGCGTGAGAGTAGGTATGGCCAAATGTTTGACGAACACGCCCTCTCATGAGCTGGCCCAGTATGCTCGCTCGCCGTCGCATTCAATACCATAATGGGGCGACATAGCAAGTGCTTGTTGCTGAGGGATTGAACAAGTCTTACCTGGTATTCTTGCCCCATTGTGGCTAATTCTGCGCAGGCACGCCTCTTCCCTGAGAGAAAAAACACAATACTGGTTACCACGATGAAGGCATAGGTGCACGCAAATGTACCGTTGAGTTGGCGATGTTAACTTTGCAGCGGTCTCGGATTCTTGCGCTGTATGTGTGCACACACCAACAAACCGCTTGTCATCATTGCAGTGAGAGAGGCCACTTCACCTGTGCTGTAAGTCGAGCGAGGTCGCCTTCCAGTCGGTTGGTCGTGTCCTGCAGGACGGCACACCTTGCCTCTGCTTTTTGCCTGCTCTCTTCCAATACACGCCGTTCAGCCTCGTCCTTTGCCAGTGTCACCAGCGTGGTCGACGCCAGATTTCGGCAGTATCGTCAATGTTGTACAAGCAGGAATGCGGTTAGCGGGGGGACTTCGTCACAAGTGCTTGGTTGGTCCACCCTACTAATGTGACGAATTCGCGCCCAAAACCGAAAGAATATAGGTTTCTTGGAAGCGGACCCAATTGAAGTTTTGTATGGCATCCACCGACCGACCTTACCTTTGAGGTGGCCGCTGTGAACCGCATTCGGGATACTTCAACGTCCTCACGCAGTCGGGCAGACTCGTCGTCAAACCTAGTGCGCAGGTCATGAAGCTGGTTCTTTAGACCAGCGGCCTCTGCCCGGGCCGCTGCGGTCTGCGGGGAGCGATCGAATTTGAGAGTGAAAGAGACGGTCATCGTGTTAGTGAAGAGAAACAAGAGAGTGTGACATCACCTACGGTGCCACGGAAAACTGCGTCCATCAGGTAGTTCAAGCCTTTTTCAGCTCCTAACAAAAACTGGAAACGCATATAACCAATTAAACATACCCCGACCAGCATAGGGCGCATGGTGGAGGGCATCACTTTGAAGATCTGTCTAATTTCTCCAGTTGCGGCCCCTCATTGTTTCTTATTCGTCTTACTAGGCTGCTACACCTGCATTGACTGAAAAGTGAAAGTACCTCCTGTTCGGCGGCGATTCTTGCGTTCTGCAGCACTGTGAGCTTGTTTCGGGCTTCCTCTTCCCTTTCCGACACCTCCCTGCACCGAGCCCTGAAAGAGAAACAGACAAGCATGGTGTGTCAACCAACATGTAATACTCAATAAACAGTTATTTTGTTGGGCTCAAGAGACTGACATGCGACATATGCACGTGGTGCATGTTTGGGGTGCCATTGTACGACACCCGGGACCATGCTACCCCACAAATACACCACCCCCGTACACATTGGGCTACGACGACATTCTTTCAGCAGAAACGTGCAGGGACGCCCATTGTCCCGCTGGTGCCACCACATCATCCACCGTCGAAATCACCACCACGTATTATTACCTGATTCCCTCTTCCACCACCCGTCCCTCCGAGAGCTTGTCGGTCAGCGTCTTTATCTCCTGCTCCAAAGACAATTTCTGGGCTGCGGACTTGTCCTTCTTTCTGACCACACCAACAAGACACAGCATGCATTTGCAGGAGGCAAAATGAATAGATATGACTAACACCAGTATGTGTGTGAGCCTCCAATTGCACAAGCGCGGGACATATTCTGATGAGTCCCGCGCTACAAGTTGATGATTTACCAGGTTGGGGGCAAGAATTGTGTTTCCCTACCAACGCTGAACGCCACTTTCTGTTCTCTACTGCAAAACCAGCAGCGTCTTCCACACCTTGAAAGTCGTTCTTTGAGGCTTTCCAGTTCCGCCTCCTTATCTTTCACTTCGCGGTGCGCAGCTTCCTTTAATCGTACACACTCCGCCTAGACGTGGTCACGAGGGCAGTACAGTTCTCATCGTGAGGACATGCACTAAACCATCTGGCATACGAGCACGTTCAATCGATACCAGTTGATGTCCAAGCAGAGGCGCTCACTTGTATTTGAATGGCAACTACTTCGCATTAAAGTACCAGCACGTAGCAAAGGTACATGGGTGGTTTATTTTCAATGACATGACCGATCGCGGACATTATACTCCGCTCGTGTCACACACCTGGGCCTCCTTGGCACAAAATGACAGCAATCCTACCCTTATTGTAGTAGCTACAAGCGATAGGCTACACGTGGACCTCTCGGCATTGGGTTGGGAGCCTCGAAGTGTACATTGTAGGGGATAGCGCTGAATCATGAAATAATGTTGGAGCGCTTGTCTCTGAACGGGTCGTTCTGGCAACCCCTTTCCAACCATTTCATCATGCTGACGTATTTCTACCTGATTTTACCTGCGACCCCAAAAGCTGTTTCTCAGTCTCGTTAAGGTGTTTCTCCAAATCGCCGAGTTTAGCATTGAACAATGTCTCACCCTCCTTCTTGCTTTTTACCACCTCGGCGAAATTGCTGGACACCTTCAGCACGGAGGAACGCAACAAAACGATATATCGATCTCCATCCATCAAAGCGGGTAGCAGCACAACTTCAGGTCTCATGCGGACTACCGCTGAACAGAGTGTGAGGTAAAAGAGGTTGGAAATATTTTCTCGTTCAGTGCGGGCCGTGACCTCAGTCCTGTAAACACGAACTTGACCATTTGCAAGGCATCGCAAATCTCAGGTGCGTAAAGCGAAAGTCACAGCAGTGCCAGCAAGAGCTTAAACAACTCCCACAAAAAAAAGCAACACATTGTTCGTTTTTCCTTCAACCAATTGAAACTACGGCAGGGTTAGAGAGGATTGGTGTAAGGAATGGGACTTGAAGGCTGTCTTCACACACCTGTTGCAATTGTGCCCACATTTCGGTTTCCCTCTCCTTCGATTTTTCCAGCTCCTGCAGGTGCGAAAGTGCAGTCAACTCAATTTTCGGAGTATGATAAGTGACGCTATGATAATATAAAAGGGAGTTTAAGGTCTTGGGTGTGTGTGGTTTCTGTGGTGAAGCTATACTGTATCGTCAGAAACTGCTCCCCGCAGCTCGTCTCCCTGATGCGAAGTACATTGTAAATATGGTCCATTTATCTACAAAATACATAAATATTTGGCATACAGTATGACACACTCGCAGATGCTCCTTTTCCTACACTACGCGTGTTACACAGGTGTAACCTTCATTCTCAGGGCATTCTCAAGGATGCCGTGCACGTGTGATTGGCATGGTCACCGTCATACCGCCATCGATAGCACAGATTCAAGTGTGCAATCCATGGTAAAACCCTACGGCGTACGACTCAATACGAACTTATCATTTGGGACCTACGCTGCGGTACCGACGTGCAACATATCAAGGACTCCGGGTGTCTGAAGGAGGGCTGCGAGCAGGTCTACTTGTGGCGACAGAATCGCGACAGCATATCATACAATTTCAAGAACAGCACCAAAGCAATCGATGCGAGTTTCGCTTTCCGTGGGGGTTCGCCAACCAAGGGAAACTAAACACAGTATCGCACCTTGTGGAATCGTTGTTCCGTGTCTCGGAGTTTTTGCGTGACCTCCTTCGTGCTACTTTGTAAGCTCTCGCATCTCTTTTCGGTCCCTTCAGCACGCCTGACCAGATCCGTCCTAGTCTCACTCGAAACATGTCTCTCTCGCTCAAGCGATGTTTCTGCCGCCTATCGCACACATGTTCACAGCGCGGACAAATTGCCCGCCCACGACCCTTTACAGACCGAAAGTTGGATATTTGCCTCACAGCAACCATTCATCCCGATGGTCTAGGTTGTAACCCTTCACTAGGCGCGATCTGGAGTTTGAACCTGGGCATAAAAATTCTTCATTGGTCTATCGCATCATCGATCTACCACTACTTTAGAAGTACTCGTACCATTGGGAGAAGGAAATACGGAACGGAACTGCTGAACCGTTGTCGCATCAAACAAATGGAGCGTGGCTCGCGGAGGATCTATATGCGTGGCCCCGGATCGGAGCTCAACAGTAGGAGAGGCCACCGGGCATACGGGCTGGAAACTGCGAGCGACGGTTCCTATATTTATCAACGAAAATACGAAAGAGTTGGGACACGCGTGAAATTGATGCAAATAGAAGTAGACGTCGAGCCATGTAGCCGCAGAGTGATGTTGTAGTCGACCGTTGTGAAACCCACACACAAAGTAAGGCCGGCGGACTCCAAAAGCTTGGTTGCTACTTTGGAGACCTCCCTCTACGTGTGACGCATGACGCGTCAGGCTATACTGGTAAGGTTTTGTATGGTGTAGATTGGAGGGGGGGGCAGCATTTCGTCTAATGTCACGAGACAATGCAGTATACTAGTGTGAACCCGAGATTTTGTTTTGTCTTACCTCGAGGGCGTTTCTCGTTGCTGCCATCTCCACTCTTAAAGACTCTTCCCTCGACGTCGATTCCGTGATGGCCGCCTTCAACTCTTCCGCCCAAGCAGCTGCCTCCCTAGCCGCTGTAAGCTCGGAGAGGATCCCGCTCCTATCAGCCTCAATAGAAGCAAGGGCAGCTTTACCTTCCAAAACTTGGCCCTCCAGAGAGGACACGCGTAACATCAGCCGCTCTGCCGCCCCCTGTGAATGAAGACGTTTCAGTCCCCAAGAAATAAAATGTGACCTTGGTCTTGACAACAACAGAGAGGCAAAGGCTCCTGCAGTGTTGTGTGCTAAAGTCGATACAGCGCGTAACGTTCGGTTTCTATGCTACCTGGCGGCGCGAGACAACCATGAAAAGGCACTGTATGCATGCACGACGCACTACCTTCTCTTGTAGGGCTCGACCTTCCGCTTCTGCTAGGCTTCCTTGTAGTTTCCTCGACAGAGCTTCTCCCTCCTCCACACGACTCCTGTACGCTTCCATCTCTCTCTAAATACAACCGAGCATATCGCAGAAACACCAGAAGATCAGTGTCGCATAATCGCTCGGTAGATGGAACGCCTCACAACATTGCACGTAGCACGTCCGGTTATAAGCATAGCTACAACATCAGAAATCAGCTTGGTCTTCATCCACGATCGGACTCAAAATACAGCGATAAGGGCCGGCTGCGACGACTTGATTCCTAAACGTTGAAACACGCAACTAACTAACTGCCATGGAGGGTGCCCTTTCCTTTACTCAGGCGCTAAAGCTCGGCATCCGCATAGCGAATCAGCAAATTAAAAGGCATTCCTTTTACTGTTGCAAACGAAACGCAACTTCGTCGAACCATCATATTGGCTGCGAACCAAGGAAACGGCTATCATTCCAGCAAATATCTCTGACCTGTTTCTCGACTAGAACTCGATGAGACTTCTGATGCATTTCCTCCGCCTCCTGCCCAAGGCGTTTGAGGTCTCTCTCCAGGCCCTCTGAGGCCTCCATACGTTGTTGAACATTCTTCAGCTGCCTTGCTAGCCCCTCGACCTTGGAGTTAGCTTCTGTGAGCGCCGTCTCTGTGCTCACGGCCGCCAAAGATAGTCGTTTTACCTGATGGAGAAGCACCAGCAAAAACCATAGGTTGGTGTGTACGCGGTGCCTGGAACGGGGGTATTCGCCTTCGGCAACGTAGACCCGTGTTTTCATTAAGGACACTTTGCGCTTTTTACACGTACATCCGTCAAACAGCACAAAACGCCGACAGTGCCCCAGGAAATCAATGGCGTGCCAAGCAGGGCTTGGATATTTCAGGGGAACAGTCATGAACAACAAAGTCCGATCACGCACAACTTTGAAAAGAAAAGACCGCCCGACCTGTCCGATGATACGGTAACGGCGATGCCTCCCTCACCCGAGGACGGGAAGCCCTGTTGCAGTTGCACTACACCTTTCAAAGCCAACTTGAACCATCCCCATCTATCGCTCGGATGATCTAGATGGCAACCCTGGCGGCAAAGCATGTGTTCACAGGATTTGTTCTGTGTGACCCCGAATTGGGGCCTTTCAGTCAGAGGGGCAAGCCCATAGGGTCGTAGAACATACTAGCAACGTTTGACGACGTGAAGACAAACGCAAGACACAAATGGAAACACTTAATCATGCAAGCCAAAGAGTGGTCTGACCGACCTCCGTCCTTTCTGCCTCGACTAATGCCTGAGCTTGCTCCTTGTCGGCAATGGCATCATCCACAGCAGCCTCTAACCTCCTGCGCGCGCAAGGGAAGGTAAGGCGTTGTGAGTATGTTTTTCTTGGAAGTAGTGGGAGTACAGTAGCTACAGTAGCTCCCAATTAGTGATTTTTGAACGAGTGACGACGTCCGGCTCAAAAGCAACATAACTTTTAGTCCTGTACAAAGGGAACCCTTACTCTGGCGCCGACGTTCCCTGGGGACGTGTTTGTAGCGTACAATGCTTGGTCTTGCTTTCAGATCATACAGTGGCATTCAGCACCCCGGTGCTTCATGGTAGGAGGGAGCTCTTGATGGCCAGGTGCGTACCGCCCCATGTCCTACGTGTGCTTTGATCTGTCACATTGAACTATTTAACGGGCAGCGGCAGCTCATGTTTCACCTGCACTCTCTGGAGCTCTTCTCCAACGCGTTCTCCGCGTTGGCGACGTCTGCGTTCATGCGCATGACCTCCTCGTTGAAGCGATTATTTGCCGCACGCAGCCCCTCTTGGGCCTAATGATCAGCCGGACAGGTCACGAATTAACACGGTTTTGCAGTCTCGTCTGCGCCCAGAGTATCAGGTAGGTTCGTGTTCATCATACCCAGCTTTGTTGGGTATGTACGCACAAGGACAGTGCAGAAATACTGCGCACCATCACTCGGCTACGTATTGGTGTAGGCTAAAATTGAGCAAATTCTGGCTCCAATTACACCTTACCTCTCCCGTCGTTCTTTGCAGTTCCGCGATCTTGTCCACCATCTTATTCTTTTGGGCCAAGTCGACAGACAGAGAATCCAAGCGGATGTCAGCCTTTCCAGGATGAGACGTACCGGAAATGGGGTAGGGAGGTATCAACTGCTGTCAGTGTTTGAACACGACTAACGAGCGCTTGATAGTCCTGCGTTTCCGAGGTGATGAAAGCAGAAAAAACTCTTTGCCCTGGAGCACAAGTGCAACTTTGGGTGGAACTACCGACCCTGCTGGTATGAATGTATGTCGTGAAAAGTACTCCATGGTTCCAGCATCAAGCAATGTGGCAGCACCAGCTCAACACGTGGTACGTACAAAGCGTCATTACTACCCGTCCGCATGCTATTGTCTGTAGATTCCCTCAAGGACTGTACATTTTGCCAAACACGAAACGTGATAGCTTGATACACATCATTTGCACCTGTTTGAGTTCGCCCTTAAGCCTTTCAACCTCCTTCTCGAGGTCCTTTCGACACAGAATATCCTGTTCCACAGCCTTTGAGGCATGAATCGCCTCGGCCAGCCTACGAGGAACGCGTCACACCACGCACCGGGAGGGAAAACGAAGCACAAAATGAAAAAAAACGAAGCACACAGGCAATACGGCAGGACGATTGCGGAGGTGCCAACATTGCTGTTGTAATACTCGTTGTCGCTTCATTCGTACACGACCATGGGACCAATGCACCCTCTGTGTAGCGATCAGCCTGAACTCCCACCAAGGGAGCTACCCCCCAAAGGTTCTTCCGCAGACTGGAGTTGTCGCAAGCAAATACGTACCTCGGTGATTCTGGTAACAACGCTATTGGCGAACAGTGGTCGGCATGACCGGTAGCCTCTTTCTTTCGCCGCTTATATGTTTCCCATCGAGTGAGGCTCTTCCCAACTTCCGGGAGGCACTTCCTTCGTCCCTGCTCTTGGTTCCAGAATACCGTAGAGAGCTAGATTACTTACAGCTCACGCCACGCCTTCCTGACTCTAAAAGGTGACCAGGAAACCGTCTCGCCACTAATATTAAACCTGCAGTTGTCAGGTCTCCGCGAAACAGCATCTAATACAGCATCTAATACTCACTTGGTGCTGTCCTCCATGGCAGCAGCGCTTGCATCTTTCTTGGTCTTCGCTAGCTCCTGCTTGCATTCTCGTAATGCGAGCCTGTGTCAGGGTGTTGAGAAGAAGATGGGACCCAAAACAAATCGAGGCGCCTTGTCGTATCATCCAGACGAACGAGGAGAATGCGACAGTTACGTGTCGAGAAATAAATACCTGTAGCAGCAATAACACACCGCTGGTCCGACTTACCGTAGTGCATCGATATCTTGGATCAGTGCTTGCTCGCGTGTGTTGTGCTCCTCCAAGGCTTCTCGCACCCGCTCGTCCACCTGATAAATAGCAGTGCAACCCATGCACAGCATTATAGCAAGACCCTAGGTGGTATGTATGACGCACCCGAGCTGAAACGAAGCTGTGACACAATGTGCACTCTAATGAGTCAATTCGAGTTTTCAAATAGACCCCTGACGTGACAGGGGCTTGAGCGACCACCATGACCCTACTTGCTCTACTACACCTCAGCTCATGCGTCGATCAAATTCCTCTTATTAGAAACTCTTGAGCAAGAAACAGTGGAAAACACGGTGGTGAGGGTGTCAATATCAAGCACGAGTGTCCATGAGATTGAGAGACTTGCGAGGCAATAGCTCCATAACTGAGAGAAGACAGGAAGGGTGTACCTGGAAGTCCATCTTAGCATGCATCTGCTCGCTCTCTGCGCTAAGAGCTCGGCGATCGTCTTCAACTTTCCGCTTCATTTCCTCCATTCTGCGGCAACAAGCGTAAGTAGCGGAGACAGCCTCACTAAGAATCCAGATAACCTCATGGTAGAATTGAAAGGAGCGCGGACAGCAGCGAGGCTGAACAATCTGTGACACTAACAAAACCCTTCGCGTTCACCAGGTTAGTACAGAATCGTGTTTCCCCTTTTACAGGCCGTTGCTCGTGAGTCTAGCAACAACAACCCTGGGCCTGGGTCACATAGTATAATCACTTCATGATGCGTGCTTTCAATTTTCACGCGAGAAGGGCCGTCCTTTCCTCATCCCCTGTATGCACGCAGCAAGATATAGGGATGCCATTTCACCTTCCTGCGTTTTAACTACCGAGATGGCAATTGTTCGGTGAAGAATGTATGTGATGCTGGAGGTCATCCCCAGATTCTACCTTGCCGATCACAATATTAGACATGCATCGTGGATTTGGACAAAACTATTGCAGAAATCGTCGCAGCATGAGCAAGAAACCTTACTGCCAATGCGTACGTTTTGCAAGAAAAACTTGGGGAGAAATGGGAAAGTACGCCAAAAAAGGGCAGAACCCGAACCAATACAGAATATGTGTTGTTCAAGGTGCACATCAACGATTTCTAGCCACCGAGACCGAAAGGCAAATTGTTCAGGGAGGTCAAGGTTCCGATGACAGCGCTTTTTCTTCGGATCATTCCTGCATTTCTTGCGAGAATCGCTGCAATAAGCCTTGATTCATCACTAGTTAAGTCGTCACACTGCTGTTGTGTCCCCCGATTATGATATTCCTTCGGCGCCATCCATACGAGTTCGGGAACGATTCCGCTCAAAACAAACCAGCTCAGAAACAAGCTTTTCATATGCGCAACGTTTGCTGTGGGGTTCGCCACATACTGCTGTTGATATTTCGCGACTTTTGTGGAACAAAGTGCCTTCTGAACCGGTCGTGGAAGATAGTACCTTGGTTCACAGGCACAATCCAGACCTTCACGACAGGCTCGTTCGAATCCCTCAGCTTGCTTTTGGAGGTCCCACGCAAATCGTTGAAACCCCATTGGTTGCAGTCGAAACGCAAGTTCCAAGAAAACATGCGGCACCTTATCAGCATGTTTTACCGAACGTGGACCTCTCGCTATTCGCTCCTGTCGCGCATGAAAGTCGCCTTCCCCTTACCTTCTATTTGATTGCTCTCTAGCTTCCGCGAGCCTTCGCTGAAAGCCCTGCTCCTGCTTTGCAAACCCTGCGTCCTACAGCGTGCCGAATCCGCGAACCACAGAGAGAGGTTCAAGTCAGGGAGACTGCTTCTGAAATGACCGGTTAAACCACCAACTTCTGCATGGAACACCATAAGGTTTATCATTTCTACGCACTTCATTTATCTCGGAATCCAGCCTCGACTAAACTTGAGAGTGGTATTATACAGCAGTAAGAACAGGTATAAAATGGAAGATGATGTTCACATACCGCTTGAGCGTTGGCCTCGCTCAGCTGGCGTTTATACGTCTCCATTTCAGCTCGAAGATCATCCACGGTGGACGCTCGCTCGGCTACATCAAGTGAACGATCGAAGACGGGACATTGGCAGTCTGTCAGAGGAAGAAATGTATAAAAAGCGTGACACTTGCTGCGTTTGTATCTGTAGATGGCTTTGCCAACCTTCTTAGATTGTCAAAACAGAAGCACACCAGGCGCCATGTGAGAGTACACCTTCTTTGCTTGTGATACATCTGCCCCCCTTGTACCAATATCCTCACACACCGCGTACTTGTTTCGTTCATCCGGACGAGTGCCTACCCGAAATATGCTCTTCCTTTTGCAGCCTGGCTTCAAGCTGCCGCGCCGATTCCTTGAGCTTGGCGGATAACTTTTCAACTCTATCTCGCTCTAGAGTGGCAGTGTTGAATCGTCTCCTTTCGTGCCTCAGTTCGTCTGCCGCCGCTTCTATCTTCTCTTCCAAATCCTGTTGTCGTTCAAGGAGTTCATCAAACAGTGTCCCAACTTCGAATATTACTCTTCCATGAGACTCTATGTGGAGTCTCGCCTATTGAGGACACGCGCGCTGCGTTAGCATAGACGCTGTTAGTGTTCAGGAGACCCAACCCACATTTCGCGGGTGGCTGTACGATCAGGGTGACACGACTCACCGCGTTCCATATTACTTGAAGATCTACACCCCGACTGTTGTCTCAACGCACCGACGCGCACCTCTCTGGCCCGTTCCAACTGATTGATCGCTTCATCGTGCTGCTCCACCATGGCCCGCCTTGACTCCTTAGTCTTCTTTAGCTGTCTTCGGAGACGAATCACCTCCTCGGAGCTTGTATCTCTCTTGTCCCTAATGACGGCAACCCACCAACATTGGTGGAACCACCAAAGCGTTCTGTGCTAAGCACATGTGCATCGGGATCTGCTTTAACTTGGAGCTGCAGCGAGTAAGCGACTACTGTAGAAACACTCATTGTCTTCTACAAAAGGAAATGTCCGCCCCCCCGAATGGCATACAATGAATTCACCCTGTACCATTCCTGACCATACGAAAATACGGTGCACAACTTCAGTAGCGCTTACATGAAATCGAGCGGAGTGTCCTCCCCGCAAGCGCTATCACCATCGCTTGGTGGTTCCTCAACCCCCTTGCCATATCTTGGCGATGATTTCCCCATGAGGACGCATTCAGGCCGGACGGCAATCAGTCAGAGCAATGCTGAGAGTAAACAATTTCAGGGGATGAACGTTCTGTATCACTAGGGCATATTGCAAAGGCTAGTCCAACAGGGTACGAACTGTATGCGTACGATATTACCTCTGTTGCAGCACCGAAGAGCCAGAGACTACAGCAGATATGTAAAGCCTTTTTGACTTCACGTGGCACATATCGTGCCCATCTACCGCGCGCCTCACCGGAACACCTGGGCGAGGGTGCCGGCCATGAAGGTGTAAACGTCGTATGCATCGAACTCAAACACTTGGTCAGATTCACAACAAATATACCTTACGGTCTTCTCGTCGGCTCTTTTCTTGCTGTTGGCACGAGCGGGAAGTATGGGCGCACGCGCCCGAAAAGGAGATGGCGGCTCCGGAGGCATAAGAGACGAGACTTCCACCAACTCATCGCTTGCAGCCTGGGTTCAAGCAAGGCGATATCATCGCCATGATGGTTGCATGGGCGCCGAGATCAGTCCATCAAATTGCAATAAGGGGCCTAGTTGGTCTTCTACTGCTTCTAAACCGACGCGTAGCTGCGCTGTAACACCGACTTCACGTTCAAAACATGCAGCAGCATAACCAGTACTCCTATTGTGATGGAACTACTCGAACCGGAGGACCTCCAAGCTGAATGATGCAAGAATGTCATCTTCTAGAATGGTGCCGCTCGCGGTTCATGCTCTCAATACGACATTTTTTAGAGCCGAGATGTACGAGTGAATGCATACTCTTGCTGCCTCGCCTTCTTCTGTCTGTATATTTCCTTATAGAAGCTGTCTCGTGGGTGCTCCCAGCTACTGTCACCAGATGCCTGCAAGCAAGAACGGGAGGGCATTGGGTGCATGCGGTCCCGGAGACAAAACAAAGCTCATATTTGGGTACTCACGGCACAGCAGGATAGCACGTTCACTACCAATTAACGTAGTTTCGTGTGAACGAAGAAAAACGACAACACCTGCAGCTAAGTCATCTGGGAGTAGCCCAGTAAAACTCAATAAAACAAAGCGGAACTTGGCCAAGAAAACAATGCATACAGCGGTGTTCAGTCTGCATTTTTTTATACGCTTTGGTCATGCCCCTCACAGATTATACCCCACACTTCTCTGACCAGACTGCCGCTATCTTTACCTGATCGTAGTAGTAGGGATGGCCAGACTGTTCGTCCTTAAGCTGGAGCCAACCTTTTCGAGGAATCGGGGAGACGAATTGGGAAGGTGCGGCATTGAGATGCATCGCGTTTGGTTCCAAATGGCAAAAGATTAATTTCGTGCCAACCAGCTACTGCTGTATGCTATCATGCTTCTTCAAGACGTGTAAGTCAAAACAGACTCTATCCCGGCGGGGTACTTATCAATAGCGTTCCGGCGACACCCCCAGAATACAAGCCTGGCTTGTCAATACACAAGCGACTACACGCTTCGATCACACGATTACACGATCACACGAAAAAACAACCGTGAAACAAGCCAGAACAAACGAACTATGTACACAAAAGGACTCCATGTTTTCCATCTGTGACTCGACAAGTTGTGGAAGACGTGCAAGTCACAGATTTCCAATTGAGATTCGTTGCAATGCTGAAGGATCACCTCCCCGCAGTACGGGAATGCTGTAGACTATGTCTTGTACAAGCTTGTACACAAATATTTCGTACTAAACGAAAGCACAAAGGCACCGTGATCACGCCAACACCTACTTGTAGGACTGCTGTGAAAAACGGTACAGTTGTCTACTAACCTAGCCTACACTGCAGTGGCGTGGGTAAACAAGCAATAACGTCGATCTGACCAACCTTCAGGGAGCGGTGCCAGAAGAGATTCCTCCGCGATCCATAGGAAGTTTTCGTCTTCTGGGAGAAGCATGCCCAGCATAATTGCGTGCTCTCGCACGCTTCAACAAGAAGCAGCAAAAAGAAGTGAAATTGAACTTTGGTGGCCACAGCAATGCTATACTGCTGTGAGGCGACGACCGTAGGCGACAGGTCCGGGAATTGCAACCCTACTTCAGCTTGCAGGGTAGACATCACGAAGCTCTGTTGTGGGTACAATTCGAGATAAAACAAAGGTAAAACGAGCGTACCCTTGCTTGAAGACATCGGCGGGGACACTCTTTGGCTCTTCGGTGTCATCTTCTCGGAGGTGGTCCGGGCTACCGTCCTCGAAGGCGAGGTTCAACAGGCGATTTTTAGCAACCTCGCCGCTCCTGCGATCCAGCACTGAGTGAGTCGGTGCTGCTGAACGAAAAGCAGAGTTTTCCATCCCAGTTGCATGCACGTGAGCGATCCAGCAGCCAACAGCTCCATTGACAAGATT